TTCCTGTTAAAAGGGAGTTTTTCCTCTCCACTGTCACTAGATAGAAATCTTTGAATCAATTTGACTGGATGATCTGGTTGAACTGTAAAGTGCCTTGAGATGACGTGTTGTGAATGGCGCTATAGAAATAAATTGAATTTCTCACATTTCTCTACAATAGTGATGTTTGGCTAACAGGACAGTCAGTTTATATTCAGAATTCAAACTCCTGAAAGCACTTTGAATATAAAATTATTACAAACTGTTCAATAAATAATAAGGGTTATATAATTTATATTTTCCCATTTTATATGATTGTAAATCTGTTGATGTTTTAATTGCCTTACCTGCAGCTGCATCAGAGTCTCTGCGTTACTTTTCTTAGAGACAGACTTTGGATCAACGGAGCTGCTGAGTTGGCTCAGTGTCTCTGACAGCTGATCACAGTCCATTTGATACTGGAAAGTGCGAAAAAGTGTCTTTATAAAATTGCTTCAGGAAAGATGCTTTACCACTAAAACGTGCGTCCATGAATACCATGTTCTGCTGTTATATGATCCTCGCCTACCTTTGTGTATTCCTCCATATTGTCCAGATGTGTTTCTTTGCAAATGCAGAGATTCAGGAATTTCTGCCACTCATTTCTTACAGCATCTCTTTGGGCCTTAAAGTGAAGAGTTCATCAAGAGTTAGCAAACATCTACATAGTACATTTTGCACTGTTAAAGTAACACTTTAAGAGTGCATTTGGTCCCACTCAGCATAAGTGTTAAATTAGAACTCTACGTACTATATGTCTTACTCCAGTTGTTTTTTTAATAACTCTAAAAGAGCCAATGTACTTTGACGCTACATATTTCACCCTGTGTAAATTCAAAGGTCTGACAAAGGTTAAAAAATGTTTAAAGTACCTCTATTGTGTTGCTGGCTGGATGTTTCAGTTCCAGGAGCCTCTCACAGTCGTCCTGCAGATCATTCACTTTGCTCTCATGGGCCAAAAGGCTGTTGTTCTTGAAATGCTGAATGAGAAAAAAGGAGTTTTCTCACCACGTCATATATTGAATGGGTTTAAAACTGCATGCCAAATTAGGCAGCCATTATATAATGTAGATCAGCAGCAAAGAAAATATCATAAACTTCAGCAGCAGACAGTGTGATTTCTGGGATGTCTGCACTAACCACTGCAGAAATAGAAAAACAGATTGTGACATTCGTACAGACCTCATACTGCCTGCGGACGTCGGGCGGATCCACCATGTGGTCGCTCCAGTCCTGCTTCTTGATCTTGTCCTGCTCTTCACTCAGGAATTGCAGCTCTTTGTCGCAGCCTTGCGTGTAATCGTAGAGACTGTTCAGGTGTTGGCGGCGCAATTTGGATTTTTCCTGAAGGAAAGAGTCAGTAAAAAAACTGCATTTTATGGGGGGGTGCTGGATTTACCATTAGGAAACACTGAATATTGAATAGGCAATGGCCTTTTCAAATATGATAAATATATTTTAGCAGTCTGCGAGGTCCCCTGATTAAGACACATCCACAAAATTAGACACATTTAGAGAACTTTGGCAATTTGCAATCAACATTAGTGCTAAATCCAGATGTGGGGAAGCTGATATACTATCAATGAGGACTTAATGCTAAAAATGTATCAAAAGATGGTTCATTAAAAAGTTAGCTTAAGAGCAGCAAAATTCGGTGCTTGGTTATTGTTGGGTTTTTGGTGCTTCGGTTTTATTAAGTCATGCTTAAACATTAAGCCTTAAAAAGGAATCAAAACTTGCATTTTAAAACTGAAACAATGCAAAATATTTTCAGCTTTGTAAGTAATCTACTCACCAGCATGCTGTTATACTGCTTCTTGAATTCTGAATGTTTTTCCTAAAAGACAAAGCAGTGACATGAAGGGTGAACCGTCTCTCCCAAATGTTCATTTAAGCTGAAGGCTTCATGTAGCGTGTTCTACTGCACACCTTGCTTCCAGCAGACGCCACACAGAGTTGAGAGCTGTAAGCTTCCAGCTCCTTTTCCAGGATGTTTTGTGCAGCAATCTGCTTCTCCAGGTCCGCCGTGGTGTTGCCGTATACATCTTTGCTTAACGCTTTCTAACAACACATGCAGCAAAAGAGCTTTGTTAACATATAACTCTGTTAGAGGTTGGAGAAAAGTTTAACATTAGACACTTTAAGTGGACCCAACATTATTTCATGTCAGTCTTTAAGGACACTTTATTTGCTGCTGGTTAAAGTGGTGCGACTGGACCTCAGAATCAGGCTCGGACTGAGAACGATTTTCGGCCCTGGCATTTTTTCATCTACACTGGCACACTTGCAGAAAGCCAGCCACCCACTCACACATACTAGGTCTACAAAGTAAGCCTGAATGTTGTAAAAACACCAACATAAAACAATACAATATGGAGGCAGACAGGCAGTTCTTCAAGAATGAATCCATGAAGCTCAGCGGTGTGTCACTGCCAGTCTGGGCGGCATGTGGGAAATGAAATGGAATAATGTAAACAGATGAAAAACCCCATCATTCACCGCAACATACTCGTACTCGTACTCGTACTCGTCGTCTCCCGCTTTATCCGGAACCGGGTTGCTGGGGCAGCAGACTAAGCAGAGACTCCCAGACTTCCCTCTCCGCAGACACCTCCTCCAGCTCTGTTGGGGGAAGCCCTAGGCGCTCCCAGGCCAGCC